TTACAAAATTCAACATATACAACAAAATGTCAGCCTTAAACAAATATTTAATAAACAAACAAAATATTAAAAAAATAAAATAAAGGACCCATATTGGGTTGAAATAATTTAAAATAAAAATATTAAAATACATATTTACTTTTTTATTAATATATAATTTTTTCCTTTACTTTTAATTTATTTATTTACAAAATATATCATTAACAATTAACTATAAATAATATATTTTAAAAATAATTATAAATAGTATATTTTATTATTAATAATTAGCTGTCAATAATAATAAATATATATAAAAATTAATCTTAATTATTTTTTAAAATAATTATACTTAAAATATTTTACGTGAAATTATATAAAATTTAAGTTACCTTATAATTAAAAAAAATTTATACGTGCATTCCACGTGGTAATACACTAGAACTAACAAAATGAGCGGTGTATGAAGCGTGTTATTCAGTGTTGTTTATCCAAACAAAATTTACGATCTTAACAACGAGTTTGGTATAATATTTGAAGTGGTAATATAAAGTATAACCAATTTAAATATCTTTTTAAAAAATATTTCACAATATTTTGTTATATAGTTAAAAATGATTAAATGTTTAAGAGTGTTTATGCTAATTAAAAGTAGTTTTTAACAGTTTCATAATAAGAAAATCAAAAAGTGACCTTAGAAATTATAAAAATACATTAAAATACTTTAAAATATTTTTTTTCAAAGAAGCACTTAATTAGTGTTTTTTCTAATAATACTTATAAAAAGTGTTTCATATGAAAGTATTTCTACGAAAAGTCATTCCACACTCACTATTGGTGGTCTATATCTCAAAAAATAAACTTTAAATGTCTCATTTAAATTTAAAATTTATCGAATTGAATATTAACTTAACTATATAGTAATATTGATATTTTCCTTAAAACTAAAATTAAAAATTTTGCAAAAATTAATCATTTAGATTAGGAAGCAAAGTGGTGAAGTAAGAAAGTAAGATGAGTCACTTTAATTGATTTTTTTTACTTATTTTTGTCATTTGTCTGTCTAGTCATAGCAAATCGGCTAATATTGGAATTCTTTTTAATACTATTATAGTACTTATATACTCCGTCCATTAATATTTGGTAGATATATTATTCTATTATGTGAGGTCCTCCCAATTAATTTATTTTCGAGAAAGAAAGTATGTATTATGATAGTTCTAGAACTTTTCTCCAATGTTTACCTTAATATACATATAACAACGGTATTCCTTTAATAATGCCAACGATAGGGCTAAATAGAATTATAATTCAAGGCTAATAAATGTAATTGAGTATTTTTAAAAGTTAAATGACTAAATAAACATAAAAAAAATTAATTGGATTATTTTCTTGAAGCTATGTGAATGTAAACATAATAAATAAGCTAATGGGTTTGCTTGTTTTACATAAATACAATTTACATTTGATACATTTACATACATATTATCCAAAATTAGGATTTCTAGATGTTAGAATTGAAAAGCCATGAGATTCAATCCAACTGGCCATTTAAATAATTGTAGCCTATAAATTTGACAGGTGTCCAATTTGGTTAGATATATGTATATGGTGTTTATACTAAATCCTACCTTGGATCAAAGGTCGACCGTCATTAACAATAAGGAACAAACACTCCAAAACTCAAATCAATCTAAATTCAAGCTGAGTAAGCAAGTCTCATACATAATAGCGTACATGGTTTAGAAGAATGATACTCTTTTATAAACAGATCGAGGGAGACATACAAAAAGCGTATGAATAGTTTCCCTTAATTTATAATTAGAATAGTGAAAGTGGGTGGACTTCTTTGTCTAACTACAAATTGAAGACCTTCCTGAAAGATCTGAAAGGTTTATATTTATTTATACGATATATATCAAAACCTATTAATTGGATATATATATTTGGCACTTAAATAGTTACTATTATAGAATCAAATCATTGTTAAGCAATAATTATTTAATACTCTAATCATCCAACGAGAATCATAAACATAATATTTTATTTATTAATCATTGGAAGACAATTATGGAGTAACATTTAATAATTATTAAGAAATAGAAATTGGCTCTTCTTATTTTCATAAATCTGAAATATAATTAAAAAAATATTGTTGTCCTGATTCTGTTTTCAGCCAATAAAAAGATGCCACGTATCAGTCAGGGAGTTGGGAGACGGCGTTTACAGCGAAGCAATTTCTTTACCAAACGAAGCTTTACAAATATTCTGGCCTAATTATTAGATTGTTTCGGTTTCGGCGCACTTTCAGCTGCTTCGGCCTCTGTGCTTCTCGCCGGAATTAATGGCCGATTCTCGACCGCTACTGAAGAATCAACTGGAGTTGCCGGAGTCCAGTGGCAAAGCTCCGCGCGTTGTGTCACTCGACGTCTTTCGCGGCCTCAGCGTCTTTGTTAGCTCTCTCTTTCCCTCTCTCTGGATCTCGAGCACTCACTAAATTCGCTGATACATCTCTTTGTTTGGCCTGGTTATTGTACGCTTCTCGTTCATGCGAAATGGTTTGCTTTGTTCTTTTCGGTCGTGTTTTGGTTACTGGAAAGAATGTGAGAGGAAACGAAGGACCTAATTGGAAGCAGAATCTTACTCTTGTGTAGGAATTAATGCAATTAATTAGTTTGTAGCTCGCTGATTTTCTTTCTTTGGAAGCCATAATTAATTAATTTCGTCTCCTCTGTTTCCCCGCCGTTTTTAGCACCAGAATAATGTTGCTTAAAGAATTCATTATTTTCTTGTTCTTTACGTAGTTCCGCTTTTGAGTTCCACTTTAATAAGATTATGCTTTTCTATTGTATCTACTCAGAAAGAAAAAAAGGCATGACCGTAAGATAACAATATGCTTCTCGTCAACTGTTCGGTTTAGCGAGCCAAGTAAAATTAGTTACTACCTGCTAAATTCCTGATGATTGATTTTCGAATGCTGTGCTGTTTTTGTTCAGCTGATGATGCTTGTGGACTACGGTGGCTCATTTTTGCCAATTATCGCTCATTCGCCGTGGAATGGACTTCATTTGGCTGATTTTGTGATGCCTTGGTTTCTATTTATTGCCGGAGTCTCACTTGCACTTGTTTATAAAGTAAGTAAATGGATTCAACCAAGAATTTTCGGCCTCTTGTTGGCTTTATTGTTCAACTAGCTATTTGCCATTTGAGTTCTAGGTGTGGAAGCAAAATCCGTGCAGACGAATCATGGGTTTTTCATGTTTTTGTAGTTTTAATGATATTTTGTTTTAACATAAAAATATTGCTTGAAATAGGAAGTAAAAAGTAAAGTGGCCGCTACAAGGATTGCAGCAAGCAGGGGTCTGTACCTTTTTCTCCTGGGTGTTCTTCTTCAAGGTAAATTTATCGCTGGTAACTCTTGCACCAAACATTCTAGAAACCATTCGTCGATTGACATACTTCCTGTACCGGAAAAAAAAAAAAAACGATTAACAGACTTCCTAAATACATTTTGGTAGTAGTCGTATGAGAACTTAAGAGTGTCAAGCTGTACCCAGCCAGTGATGTACCATGGTTCAAAATGGCTACATTGATTACATACTATTAAGCAGTTGATACCTTAATCATTATTTTTCCAATACCTCAATCTTTACTTTTCCAAATTATTCCAGGTGGTTACTTTCACGGGATAACATCTTTGACTTATGGTGTTGATATGGAGAGGATTAGGTGGCTTGGCATTTTGCAGGTGTTGCTATTCGTCACTCCTTATCTTTTTGCAATTGCTACAATGGTCTAAGTTTGTCCCGACCACAGCACATATTGATGGACTTTTTTTGTATAACCGGATGGCTGGATGAGGATTTGGATTTTGGACTATATAATAATATTGCTATGCCTGTTTGCAAGATAGCTGAAATGCCAGCTAAGCTAGATTTTAAGCTGACAAAATGACCTAACATTAAATCTAAAGGCAGGGGTTTGGACTAAGTAACTTCTCTTCTTCCTTCTTTTAACATTTAAACATGATGTTCTGCATTTATTCTGATTCAATGCAGAGAATATCTGTTGGATACTTGATTGCTGCTTTGTGTGAGATCTGGCTAACTTGTCGCACACGTGAAGAAGTAGGGAATACTAAGAGCTTCTGGTGGCATTGGTAAGGATATAATATTTGGCACTATGTGATTCATATTACATATGACATAATATCAAGAGTCTATTATGTTAATTTCAATCTCATTCTCTTTTGAGGTATCTATAATGATAAGCAATCCTTTTTCTTTACTAGATATGATCGGACTGCCTCTTTTATGATATTTGTAGTAACATGAATTGGGTTGAATAGTTGAGCTAACAGAGGACCACAGAGTCTGATATTAAGTGAAAGTGAGACTGTGAGAGTTCACTGCTACATTTGATCTTGATGGTTTATAACTATGTTATTTTTCAGGCTTTAAGCCATTTATCAGAGTCGTCGAAATAACCATTAACAATAATCAGTTGCATTTATAAGATGCTGTTATATTTTAAGGATTTAGTCTATTGAATATATGAACTTCTCTATTCAGTATGTTTCTTAATGTTTAGTATTTTTAACTTGCAGGTGTGCTATATTTTTTCTGTTGTCATTATATATGGGGTTGTCATATGGTTTATACGTTCCAGATTGGAACTTCAAAATATCAACCACGACCTCTTCACTTCCACCAAATGGAAGCTACGGTTACATGGTAAGGAAATACTATGTACCTTTTCCTCCTAGCAAATATTTTGCTATCATGTTATTTTCTCTAGTAGCTTCATTCTGATTGTCCGTGGTTTTCTAATAAAAGAAAAAGAATCGAAATTGGTCTTCGTGGTTTAGTATGAAAAAGGTGAGATCAACGTTAATTGCATTTGTACCTACAACTGGAATGATGTCCGTGCAAAATTTGACTTCCATCCATGTATCAGTTTCTTCAGTCTATTACAATCCTTCATTTGATAAAAAGAAAGTAAGGAAGAGCTTTAAGCCATAACTTACACTGAAAGTAAGATCGTTCTTGTTTTAGGTGAATTGTTCTGTTCGAGGTGATCATGGACCTGCTTGTAATTCTGCTGGGATGATTGATCGTTATGTTCTTGGTATTGACCATTTGTATACTAAACCTGTCTACAGAAATATGAAGGTATCAGTGAAATTGGTTCTTTGATCTTGTAACGTTCACCATTGTTGTGCATTTTGATCAGCCCTAATGAAGAATGTGATTTGAAGGAGTGCAATATTTCCTCCAGGGGTCAAGTTCCCGAGACTTCACCTTCATGGTGTCATGCTCCTTTTGAACCTGAAGGTCTTTTAAGGTGCATATCTATGCTTCTTCTCAGTAAACTGTATTCATAAATATTTGTGCATTATATTTGATGCATGGGGAACTTTTTCAAGGGATGTGCATTCTCTTTTGTTGAGATAGTTTGGATAAAGATTGGTGAAGAGAAAAATGTTTTGTAACATGTGAAATTTCAAATTCACATTGGACCTATTATTTTATTTTTTGATATCTGTGAGTATCCTGACTGTTTGGTTTGAGAGAATTACCATAATTTTCAGGATAAATATGAACATTGAGATGTATGGGATAATGTTTAACCTCTTACAAATTGTTGACCTAATATTGTGAAATCTCTAGAATATGGCATTTCTTATGCCCATTGAATTGTAGATGAAATTTAAAGTTCGTTATTATTGTAGGATTTCTCTTCTTCTTGCATCTTGTATAATTACTTAACTACAGTTCCTTCCGAACCTAAATTGTTGATCTAATATTCTGTTGTTTCATTTTCCCATCTTCGAACTTTCCATTATCTTCTCTGCTTGCCAGGAAAAATACATGAAAGCAACGATAGGGATATAGCAACACCATTCATTGTTATGTTCATTCCTTACATTTGTTATTTTATATGATTTCACAACAGTGATTTTTTTGCACTGTCGGAAATGTTTGCAGCTCTTTAACAGCTACTGTGGCTTGCATAATAGGACTTCAGTATGGTCACATTCTTTCCAATGTACAGGTGAGATTGAGCAATATCTTATTGAATTATCTCATCGCCGAGAGTGATTAGGTAGTTCACATTTCACGCAATTTACTTCTTTCAATGAAGAATTCAGTATAGTGGACATCTTGTTTTTGATATTAGTATTAAATACTCCCTACGTAGTTTATGCATCTAACATACAGCCCTTTTCCCATCCTCTTGATGCTTTTCTTTGATCACCTCGTTTCAGTCAAATATTATTCACTAATTGCATTGCTTCAATATTTCCAGGAACACAAAAGCCGCACCAGGAGCTGGTTCTCACTCTCGCTTAAGACTTTGGTTCTCGGAATATTCCTCGTCTTTATAGGTATAAACTTGATGAAAGCTGATATTGCCAAAAACGTATCTATTAAGTAGGCTAATATTGTGGGAACGATCATTGATCCATTCCTATCTCCAACATTTTCATCAAATTTATGCCATATATACTCTTGTACAACATCTGATTTTGAAATCGATTCTTATTCTTTTAATATTTTGTCCTTCAGGTATCCCTGTAAATAAGTCCCTCTACACAGTCAGCTATATGCTGATTACTTCTGCATCAGCAGGAATAGTCTTTTGCGCTCTTTATATCTTGGTGAGTTCATCAATTTCAATCTTTTGAATTCAATATCTAATTCTTGTGATGCAAGGATTTGGAATGAACATCAACATCTGTTTCTTTCCGTATTTCTCATCCATGTACTTTTTAGCCAAACTAAATGGATAGATAATGTCTGGTGATCTCTGAACTTCTATAGGTGGATGTCCACGGCTATCGACGCTTGACATGTGTTCTGGAGTGGATGGGGAAGCATGCTTTATGCATTTACGTTTTGGTAATCTCTAACATATTCGTTATTGGGATCCAAGGCTTCTACTGGAGATCTCCTAAAAATAACATTGTAAGCACTGGACTATACAATGAATGGATCTATTTTTGGGTTTAATTCTCACAAGAATCTCGGTTACTATCAAATTCATTTCAAACTTGCTGTTCCTAAAACTTTTGCAGGTGTACTGGATTTTAAGTCGTGTCAAAGCTCAAAGTTGAAACAATCCAAGTATCTGGGTAGAGTTTTTTGGGGATTAGTTCACTAATCAATAGTTGTAACGCTCGAGATTTCTCGGCCGTGTTTGAAATCGAAACTACCCTGAAAATTTAAGCAAAAAAGCTGGAACTGGAAGAAGATAACAACTAATGCAGGTAAGATCATAATCTGATGTGCTTATATGCCCCAAAGTTTCAAGTGTATGAATGTGTATACATGTCCAACTTTGCAGACACCACAGTTTTTAACTGTTGTATTCTACATGTGCAATTCCTGGAACTGAGAAACTTGTTACTCCCTGTAGAAATTTGAAGGCAAACCCTTTATTAACCAGAAGCTTGAACATTTGCTGGGTGTTCAAATCTTATAATTAATGAAATTTTGTTTTTATTTTGTGAGGACCAAGATTATGAAAAATGTTTATTCTTTATTCTTGTACCCAAGTCAGATTAAAGTTTAAGTTTCATGGAATTGAATCAACACTTCCTCTCTGTTGAAAATTTATGGCTTGGGTAGGTATTCTTGTGAATCTTCCTGCTAACCACTCCAAAATTTTTTACCAATCTTTCTTCTACTTATCATTAATACAGTTGTAGTAAAAAAATTTATTTGTTCTGGGATTGAATTTTAATAATTATCAAAAATAAGTAATGATGACTGAAATTTACTAAAATGTTTGAATAAATGTCTTTTAATCACTGTTTTTCTGTCACTAAAAAGTACTGATTGCAAACTTTCTTGAATAAGTAATATTTTTACTGCATATTAGGTACAAAGTGTACTTTTTTTTATTCGAAAAATTTTCAGTACTAGGAGTACATATTTCGACAAATAATGTATTATTTCATTATTTGAACTCCACGCCATTTACGAGGGTGCTTATTTGGCAAACTATCAATGGCAAAAGGATGAAAAAATTTCTATTCTACCACCATGGGAGATGAATGAGTAGCTCAATATTATTGTTGTCAGACTATATTCTATATTTGTTTATTTGAATTTGAATTGTTAGGTTTGGATATTTTGATATTTGTGGTGTCATTTATTTTGTTCCTACTCCCAAAAATGACGAGGAATTTTGAAAGATTTATTTATTATTATAAGTTTTATTGGAGATTTAAATAGGTGTACATGATGAGTGCCATCTGGGGAAGAATGATCTCACATTAATACAAATGGCAGCATTTCCATTTTCCAGACTGTTCCCCCAAAACGTGGCTTAATTTTGCCCTAAATTTCACACAACTTCTAAACCGACCAAGTTCCTTCCAATCCAAACATCCAATTTTTCCCTTTTTTTTCTTTATTAAATTATCAAAGAGTTCCTATCCCAACAGCCAAATTTATTTTTACCTTTTCCGTTTGGTTTCTTCCGCCCAAAAATCAACTTTATTGATTTTTTAAAATAACTTTTAAAATGAGTCCATGGATTTCACTTGTTCCTGTGTGCATTAAGAAAAAAAAAAAAGATGGTTCTATTTTCTTTTCATTTATTTATAAACTTTAATCCCACTCATGCCGTAGGATTTTTGTAAGAATTTAACTAAAAAGAGCCTACAAAGTAAACACCGGTAGAGTTCTCAGTCATTTAATTTCGGACTAAAAATTTGTGAATTCGAATTCTTAACCATTAGGGTACAAAAGAATATTGATAAATAGATTGATGAATATCTATTTATACTGTTACTAAAAAATTTATCTAAACCAATTTAGACATACTTTGATGTCGAAAAATATATATGAATTTATTCTTAAGTTAATTGGTCATCATATAATTTAAATTAAATGCATCTCCTCTTAATTTATTCTAACCGTTTTAAATTAATGAACCACTTGGAGATTGACTCATGATTCATGAGCATCTAAATATTGAAAAATACTAATTAGGTGAAGTTGCAATATCGGTACAACATGTAGGAATAGGGGATTAAGGAATAGGGGATTAAGGGGATTGAACCAACCACTTTTTTTTGTTAGGCATCTCTGTTGTTTATATCTTTATCCACTTTCTTCCAAAAATACCAAAGCATTGAATTGAGGAGTAAGAAAGTAGAGAGAGAGAGAAATGGGTTCTAAGGATGTGGTGATGGAAGAGGAGAGGAGGCAGCAGGGGAAGGACTATGTGGACCCGCCACCAGCTCCGCTGCTGGGCTTCTCCGAGCTCAAGCTTTGGTCCTTTCACAGAGCTGTCATTGCTGAGTTCATGGCTACTCTCCTTTTCCTCTACATCACCCTCGCCACCGTCATCGGAAACAATGCCCGTCCCGGGCCCTGCACCGGCGTCGGCCCTCTCGGTATAGCCTGGGCCTTCGGCGTCATGATCTTCGTTCTTGTTTACTGCACCGCTGGTATTTCAGGTACGTACTCTTTGCTTATGTGTTAGGGTATATTTAATCTCGTGAATTTTGTCTAAAATAATCTCATCCTTTTAAGAGTATTTATAAGTGATTTAGTACTCTTAAAATTTATCATTTTATTATTATTATTATTCTGAGAGCAAATGCAAATCTCTTTCAGCCCTCTAATTTTATCTCTCTAAATAAGTAAATACTATCTCTCAAATTTTACCAATTTCTCTCTCTTTCAATCTCGCCCTCCTAATTTTATCTTAGTCTTTTTAACTAGTATCTTCCTATGTTTATAAATTTCAAATTACTTAAATAAATGATAATTTGAATAAAGAATTTGGATGAGTTGAGAAAAGAAACAATAGTCTAGGAGTGAATGAGAAAAAAATGATAATTTTACCAATTTCTCTCTCTTTCGATCTCACCTTTCTAATTTTCTCTTACTCTTACTAAGATACTATCTTCACATTTTACAAATTTCAAATAAACTTAAATAAATGATAATTTGAATAAATAATTTAGATGAGTGGAGAAGAGAAAAAAGAGTCTAAAGAGTGGATTTGAAAGAAAAATAATGAAAATATTAAGTGAGAGATAAATGAATTTTTTTTAGAGAGAAAATTATTTGAAAACGTAAAGTTTATAAATGTAAATAAAATATTTGAAAATTAAGAGGGTGGTGTAAGGGAGAGAGAAAATTGGTAAAATTTGAGGAGATTTCAAGACAGAGAGTGGGAGAGAGTCGGTAATATTTGAGAGAGTTAGAGTGGCTCGCGGAATTGGAGGGAGAGATAAAAAGCCACGTAACCAATCCAATTGTTTTAATCAAACTTCTTCCACATTTCCACTTCTTTCAGACTTAATCCAGAAAAAATTTTCAAATAATAGCGAATGTTGATGAATATCAGGTGGGCATATAAATCCAGCCGTGACGTTTGGGCTGTTGTTGGCGAGAAAGGTGTCGGTGGTCCGAGCGGTAGCTTATATGGCGGCGCAGTGTCTCGGAGCCATTGTCGGCGTTGCCTTGGTAAAATCTTTCATGAAGCATGCTTACAACAGCCATGGTGGCGGAGCTAACCTCGTCGCCGACGGTTTCAGCCGAGGCACCGCCCTCGGAGCCGAGATTATCGGCACTTTTCTGCTGGTCTACACCGTGTTCTCCGCCACTGATCCCAAGAGAAACGCTCGTGACTCGCATGTTCCTGTAAGCCTCTGACTATATATTCTCAACACTTTTATCTATAGTTTTACTCCTTTTAACACAGATGACAATTGATACTTATAAAGTATTATAAAATATTATTGTGTTACGTTAAAATTGTGATTTAAGAAAATGAGATACAAAAGAAAACAAATCGTTGCTTTTGACACCAGGTTTTGGCTCCATTACCCATCGGATTCGCCGTGTTCGTAGTTCACCTAGCCACCATTCCGATAACAGGCACCGGCATAAACCCGGCTCGGAGCTTAGGTGCTGCAGTCATGTACAACAACGGAAGAGCTTGGAGAGACCATGTAAGAAAACATTTATGATTTAACACACATGTTATGTTACAATAACATAATAATAATGTCTGTCTCTCGGAGGATCTAAATTATACGATACCATGTCCTGCAGTGGATATTCTGGGTTGGGCCCTTTCTCGGGGCGGCAGCAGCAGCGTTGTATCATCAATACGTTCTCAGAGCGGCAGGAGTGAAAGCACTCGGATCCTTCCGCAGCAACCGCTCTGTCTGACTCCAACCAAAAACCAATCCTCGTCTTCTACTTCAGTTTTTAAACACTTTTGTGCGTATCTTCTTGTCGTTAGAATGTTAATGGAATGTTGTTGTTCAAACTATCATAGGTGTTAGTACATTGGATTGTTTATTTGAGTTATATTCTTTAATCTTCTTGTTGCTGAGCATAGGCAGTAGGTGAATACAAGCATCACAAAACAAACTAACAATTGAAACGTTTAAAACATGGATTAAAATTCAAAGCCGCCCTGTCCATTTGAAGTTTCAAATTGGACAAGTTCTACCACATTCATCACATCAATCAAACAAGTAACAAGGGTTTGTTTGCTGTGAGGCTTGAGTTAAGTTGGAAGAAAACAACCTCTATTACTGAGATGCTTTAGTACATATCTACGAGAAGAAAGCCACCTTCAATCAATTTTCTACCATTTAGAGAATTTAGTAGCTTTTCAGATAAATATTTTACAGGAGAACTCTATTTTAAAATTCAAGGGAAAAGCTTTAAACAGTCGCTATTACTAGGATTCGATATAAGTTCTCCGAAATTCCTAGAGGAGAAGAGAAGCAGTAAGGTTGCATTTAGAAGAAACGCCTCGTCTAAACAAATACCTTAATCGGGCAACGCAGTTCCTCGCTCGAGATTGTTTTTGATCTCCAGAGTGTATCTACCAAAGGCCCGCTCAATCTTTTTGTTGAAATGCTCATTGCGATCATTGATAGAGTCGATATCCTTGTCTTCGTGGAACTTCCTCCTACGGCTAAATGACTTACGCTTCTCATCCCGCTCCTTCAGTTCTTTCACCATATTGTCAATCTTATCCTCTGAAATCTTAGGTGCCTGCAGAACAATGGCCCAAAAGCATCAAGTTAGAAATCTAATATTTTACAGATATGGTTGAAGTTTGTAGGAATTATCAGTACCTTTCCATATTGAAGACTCGAAGCCTCGCGGTAGAACTCAGGATCAGAATCTTTCATTTTATTATATTCCTCAAGGTCCACATTTACATTCTTTGTCCGCTTTTTGTATGCATTGTACAACGTTTTCTGATTAAACACTGTTAAAACCAATGCAGTTAACTTTTTTAGATAAGTATTAACATATTAATAACAAATAGATAAATTACAACCAATTAAGTAAATTTAATACCCAAACCCTCCCTCCACAGAGAAACGAAGTGATTACATTGGAATATCACCCAATTCATAATTAAACAATCAGTTCAAATGGCTTCAAACAGCAAGAAGCATGGGAGACTACAGCTATAAAATAACATACTACATGAAGAAGAAAGAATATATCAGTAATTACCAGTACTTTGATAGAAAATATGCACATTCAGTATGGTAATGATAGAGTTCACACCAATGAGGGCTGGAGCATGCATACATATAGTTGAAAACTCAACACACATATAATTTCTATATCCCAGATTCAAATCATGTTTCCTTCACCAACAAGCATATTAAAGAACCTTGTCAAACTATTGAAAAATGCATTTGTTGATAAAAATGCAGCTAAAATCAGCATAGTGTAAGTTTATGTCACACGGAAACATAGGTGCACCTGCACATAACCAAAAGAGTTCACATGCACAAGAATTGCACAATTGATGTTAAAACATTTGTACAGCTGCAGATAGAGACTCACCATCCCATCCATAGGGAGCTGGATCCTTCTCCCATTTCTTATATTTGGACTCTGCTGCCTCTTGTGTATCTAACATATATGCTTTTGTCATATCCAAGCCATTTGCATCTAAAAGCTTCCCAATTTTTTTCTTCCGATCCTCAAGCCACTTTTGTTTAGAAATGCCTCTTGATTCTGATGGAGGTTCCATTTTCTTTTTTTCAGCAGCAATTGCTGTCTGATTAGCTTTCCGCGCCTCATTCTGCAACCATTCATCCACAAGTCATTACACGCTACTTGATAGTAATTGATTGTTTCTTTAAAAAAAAAAATGTAGATAAGTACCATCTTAAGCCTAAGTTCAAACAACTTTTTCTTCCTCCCCGTGAGTTTAGTGAAGTCTCCTTCCACATTCTCGTTCTCCTCACTAGATTTGTCAACATCACCATCACTGTGCCCTTCAATGTCGGGCTTTTCATCATGAAGATCTTCGTACTCATCCGGAGGAGCAAAATTGGAAGCACTACTTCGACCAGCTTGACCAGAAGAACCACTACTCCAACGAGCTTGAACAGAAGAACCACCACTGCGACCAGTTTGAACAGCTTCTGATGATATACTAACTGTGATCAGAATTCACGGAAAAAGATTTATATGAGATAAGAGAAAGATGGCAAATCACATCATCCGAATTTTAAAGGTGGAGGAGGGAATTAAAGATGATTATCCAATTCGTAGAGCCAATTTTGAGCAATGTTATAGAAATAAATAATTACAAGAGAGCATTAATTAATTAGACAAAAGGCTAAATAGTGACGAGGAATGAAATTTTCAGCTACAAATAGAGAAGGTCAAGCAAGATGTTCGAGATAATTGCAAAGAAGTTGTAACATGTCAAAAAAACCTTGCTCATTTTGCTGATTCCGGGCTTTGACTTCAGCAATTATTTTAAAGCAATACTCGCTACATTCATGATAAGGATTAGAAGCATTTCTGCAATCAGGGTGTACCCTTCCTTCTTCAGACATTTCTTCAACAACGTCTCTTACTCCAGTAACACTGCAAATAAAGTGACATAATTGAACTAAGCTCAAAAATCTACAAAAATTCTGGAATCTTAAGGCCATAAAAAAAAGGCTAAAAAAACCTATTCCTGGATACGAAGATTACATGATCAATGAAACGAGTGTAAATAATCAAAGTTCCAACTAAGTCTTGTATGATTAACCGAATTTATCGAACCAACGCCAACAATTATCCTAAACTTCTCCGAACATACGATGTGCGAAACGGGTTTCCAAGTTCCAACAGAAAACTGATTTTCTTTCTATCCGTCTTTGTTTTTGGAAAGAGAGCCTCGAAGGAGCACAATCAATTCCCGAGCGAACTATAACAATTCAACTTCTGGGGGAAAACAACCACCAGCAAGAACATAACACATAGTTGAGCCCACCACCACAAAATCTATAAAATATACCCAAAAGAAAGGGAAAAAAGGTAAAATCTTGTTCTTTGTTCGTATTCTCGGAAATCGAGCGAGAAAAAACAACAAATTATCACTGCTTCAAGTCAAAACTTGCTTAGCAAACCGAAATCAATGCGAAATCGAGCATAAGAACCAATGAGGAAAACAATATTAGCGCTTAAATAGAGAAGAAGAACTGTACCTGAGAGCTAGGTTTCCGTATGGGTAGAAAACGAAGAGGAAAGGAAAATCTTCTCTTCGCGAGTTTGGAAAGAAGAACGGCACGAGATTTTTCTCAAAATAATTAATGATATATAGTTCTATATTCTTTCATTTATGTCAAATTACATTTTAATTCTTTGTTTTAATTTCAAATTGTTATCTGTATCTTTTCGTTAAAACTCATTTTAAAACAAAAAATAAATAAATAAAATAAGGCAACACTGCCATTTAAAATTAGTTTCAAGTATAAGAACTATGGAATCAATATTTTTACAGTTCTACCTTTTTTTTCTTTTTAATCCGTGAGTTCACCTAATTACCGATTTGAATTTATTCTTTCTAAATTCTCTAAATTTATCTTTCTTTTGATATTTTTACAATTATATTATTGCAAGATAAAATTATAATTTTCAATTTGAATATTTATTTCTGATTTACCATCGGTATTGATTAATATAATGTTTATAAATTAAAATTTAAAATTTTAGTTTATTCACTAGACCTTTCCGAGCATATAAGGATGCCAGAACTTTGATCACTTACAAAATTGGTGGTAACCATAACCATCATAACAAATCAAAGTATGGCTGGTTAGAGGGAAGTTTTTCATCACTTTATTTACTATTAAATCGTAAAAATAGATTATACAATTGGTATTTTATATATAAAACATCTTTTTAAAGAATATTTTAGATATAGAACTTGTGGTATTCTATAAAATACATATATATATATATAAGGAGGGTTTTTTTTTTGTTCTACAACATGTTGTTGCAAAGATAGAGATTCGAAATTTATACATTTTTGTTGAATGTATATGATCTTTAACCATTTAAGTTATGTTCAAGTTGACGTATAAAGAAAGTTTAATTGCATAGATCTATTTATTAGATTTATCTCTTGCACTAACCTTTGCAAAAATACGTGACCCAAAATTAAATAAAGATTATACAAACCCATGTTTCTATAATCTATTTCTTTTGCATGATCCAAACGCATATTACAGGAACTCAAGTTTCTAATCTCAAATTTCATAAATACAAAGCTCAATAAAACCATGGGACAAAACTAAGTTTGAAAATACCTGATCGAGTAATGAAGACTGTTTTGGGGAAAGAATACCCTGGACACGTGGAGGACAGCCATTGGTGCTCCAGGGTGACCCATGAGTCATGCCCCAGCTCGGACCGCCGATATCACCACCACTAGCGTTGACAGATGTTAAGTATGAGGGCCGAGGTGAACCTGGCCGAGGTCCGATCTACTGGGAAGCTCGGTGGGGGCCGACGTGAGCTACTGTCAGCGGCGTGATTATCGGGTGTAACCGTGGGTCCCGAGATTACCGGGTGTAACCGTCGGTCCCGAGATTACCGGGTGTAATCGACGGTCCCGAAATTACCGGATGTAACTGTCGCGAGATTAGCGGGACTACCACCCATAAGTAGAGGACCTCACTCCACGATCAGGTACGATGATTTCTGACCTCGAACTAAACTGGGAATCCGACCTATACTGACTTGATCGTCGGAATGCTCACCTTTTTGTGCAGGTCCGCCCAAGTATTCAAATCGGTCCGGAGGCCGAGTTTGAGCTACAATCAGAAATACACTGTTGTGCATATCCTTGCATAAACATTTGGCACGGAGGACAAAAAAAGTGTGCAGATTCGTGAACAGGTGCCTTTGCAGATTGCACCTCTTTGGAGTTTGTGAAGTCAAAAGTTGTCAAACCATATCCAAATGTGAAGCGTCTCCTACAGCACATAGATAAGACCATTTGAAGCATGACTACGTTTTCTGATCCGCATTTAAGTGTCTATAATGATGTGCAATCAAGTTTTAATTT